GTCTGGAAAAGGATTTACTTTTGGTTTTCGCTAGAGGCATCCAGATGGATCCCTTTGAATATCTACCAAAATGAAGTCCTCTTGTGGCCTTATTTCAAAACTGAAAAGTGACAGTAACAGAATAACAGAGTTGGAAGGGATCTTGGAGGTCTTCTAATCCTACTCCCTCCTCAAGCAGGAGACCCTATACCCGTGATGGCGAACCCAGGAAGCCAGATTCAATTCAATAACTGCATTCCTAATTTAACAACTGCAGTGATTCACTTAACAGCTGTGGAAGAAAGGTCGTAAAATGGGGCAAAACTCACTTAACAAATATTTCATTTAGCAACAGAAATGTTGGGCTCAATGACAGTCATAAATCAAGGACTGTCTGTCTCTGTCCTTCCTTAAACTCACTGGAGAAAATGCAGAATTTATGTACAGTAAGAAAACTTGGAGGTATAAATCCTTCCCTTCCCCCACCATCCTGCCAGAGCTGAAGAAGCTTCTTGAATGAGAAGTGAAACATCTTCAAAGCAAAAAAAAAAACAGAAAGTCCAGTTGCCTCCTGAAAAAATCACCTTTGGGACAACCATCCCCTGGATGACTGAGAATCTCTACAGACTTTTAGCTATGCAATTTGGGATGAACACCCTTGGAATGGGGTGGGAGTAGGAATGGATTTCCTGAGGAAAAAATTGCAGACTACAGGAACCATTTGCACTACTCAGGTGACCCCGAGGACACAGATTAACCTCTCCAAGTGGCCTCAACGACCCTCTAAAAGGATGCAAATGACCAGCTGTCTGCAAGGAATATAAATTCTTCCATTCCCCACTATCTTATCGGAGCTGAAGAAGCTTCTTGGAGGAGAAGCAAAACGTCTTAAAAAAAAACAAAAACCCAAGGAAGTCCAGTTGCCTCCTGAAAAAAGCACCTTTGGCACAAAACTTGGAGGTGCCCTTTTTTTGTTTAACTAAAGGGAAAATATAAAATACTCCCCCTTGGACAAAGACCTGAGCATCGAGTATTTGTGGTGCATATCGTCTCACTGATTGCCAGCAGCGTTTTGCTGGTGTTAAGAAGTGACTGAGGGTGCCTTCCAAACAAGGCATTTATTCCTCGCCTTTCATCCTATGTGTCAATAAGGAAGGCTGACTTCCCTCTTTTATTTTTATTTTATTTTATTTTTTTTGAAAGAAAAGCATCTAAATCTGTATCAATAATGTGGTAATTAACTCCCTCTGGGTTTGCCAAAAGCTTCGTTCAGTTCTGCTATGCCCTCTGGGCACGATTCCACCATTTGACAATTAGACCCTTTGACGAATGCTGCTGTTAGAAATGAGAAAGGAAGCAAAAAGTCAGAGGCTCGGGAGCGGCTTTATCTGTTTATCCCTGGGAAGACCACAAAAAATGTTTTGGAAGCTATGAATTAGTGGAGGAAATGGAGGATCGCTTGATCTTGTCAGACATCTGTGATGGAGCGGGTATTCAGTCGGTTCTGACCAGTTCTGGAGAACCAGTAGCGGAAAATTTTGAGTAGTTTTGAAGAACTGGGAAATCCCACCACTGACTGGCCCCACCAACCCCATCTCTTCTCTGCCTCCCGTGTCCCAGCTGATCGGCTGGCTCTTCTTTGGTTGCCCTGCACAGGAGAATGGAGCTGGAAAGCAGGTTAGTGGGGTGGGGAGGGAAGGGGGATTTTGCAGTATCTGTGATGACCCAGGGTGGGATACAAAATAAACACCGTCCCAAAAAACAGGGAAAGACCCTTTTATTCCTTCACTTTGCTTCCAAGCTCCAAATATCCTTGACTGGAGACAAAAAACTCCCACACAAGCAGTTACAAGAAGGAGGAAATGCCATTTAAATTATAAAAAGTAAAAACAACACAAACCAGGCAAGATAAGGGCTGGAAGACGTCCACAGATAACAGAACACACACTGGGAAGGACGCCAAACTCAGAGAGGAACCATAAAGTAGAGATATTTCCATGCTTTGTTGCCCATATGCAAGTCTGTCCTCTTATTCAGTTGTCACAGCTGCAGCCCATGAAGAGGATCAAGGCCCTCTCCTCCCGAGTAGACCACGTTTCTCCCTTGCCCTCTCCTCCCTGCGTGCCTTAGGATGGATAGGGGATGGGCCTGGGTCCTCCTCTGAATGCCCAGCCGGCCTCTGCCCTTCCCCAGCCTCCTCCACAACCTCCAGAGCCACACTTCCACTCCCTGTCGGCTGTTCCTCCTCTCCCTCAGAGTCAGTCTCCACGACAGTATCTTGCCTCGCCCACCAAGCCACGCCCTCCAAGCCACGCCACAGAACCGGTAGTAAAAATGTTTGAATCCCACCACTGATCCGTGAGATGAACCTGGGAGGCTTAGAGCCTAGGACATAGAATCCTAGGGCTGGAAGGGACCTTGGAGGTCTTCTAGTCCAACCCCTTCCAGACAAGTGGTTGTCCAGTCTCCAGAAATGGAGCACCCACCCCTTCTGAAGGCAAGGCGTTTCCTTTGTTAATTATTTTCTTACCAGCAAATTTCTCCTTAGTTCTAGGTTGGTTTCCTTCTTTATTAATTTCCATCCCTTGCTAAAGGGATCTTAGAGGTCTTCCAGTCCAACCCACTGCTCAAGCAGGAGACCCTATACCATTCTGGTCTCTTCTTGAAAAATCCCAATGATGGAGCACTGACAACTTCTGAAGGCGAGCCATTCCACTGACTAATGGT